TTTAAGTCTGATGCGAAGCCATGAATATGGAATGATTGAAAGCAGGAGAGTAGAGAGGTATGATGTATGTTTTAAAAGGATCAGTGGTTTATTTGTCAATTATATCTCAATAAAACTGGGAGGAAAAGGCTCACTGGTAGCTGTGCTGAGAGTAGACTGAAGGAGGAAGGAGTGGAACCGGAAGATCAATCCATAAGCTGCTGCATTTATTTCTAGACTTCTCAAATAGAATCTAAACATATTTTTTAATTCAAATTATAGAGGAAAAGAGAAATGGATACGGGCCGGCCCCGTGGCTTAGCGGTTAAGTGCGTGCGCTCCGCTGCCGGCGGCCCGGGTTCGGATCCCGGGTGCGCACCGAGGCACCACTCCTCCAGCCATGCTGAGGCCGCGTCCCACATACAGCAACTAGAAGGATGTGCAGCTATGACAGACAACTATGTACTGGGGCTTTGGGGGAAAAATAAATAAATAAAATCTTTAAAAAAAAAAAAAAAGAGAAATGGATAAATTATCTTTTGACTGACAGAACTGATCATAGGAGTATATTAACAATAGACCAAACAAAATTCAATGGAATTTTCATTAAAAATTGCTGTTTAGCATGAAATTTCAGTGAGGAAATACATCATTACCAACAGAGGGCATTTCTGTTTAGCATGAAATTTCAGTGAGGAAATACAACACGATCACCAACAGAGGGCAGTAGCGACTACAGAACATAAAGGTACAAAATGTCATCTAGCTTCATAGTTGAGATCTTTCTCTAGAATTCTAGTAAACTAGAATTAAAGAGCATACCTGCAAAGTTAACAGTAGGAGCAAGAACCAGAGAGTATGCAAACACATATATCTACAAGAAGTTGAAATTATAAATGTGAGCAAAAAAAAAATAGATAAAAATGAGAGTATTTATATAGGATGTCATGCCCCTAACTAAAGACACCACTTTCAAGTCACTGATTTCACTGCTCCTCGGGAGCTACCAAAAAATAAAACTAGAGCAAGTGCATGGTCAGTTTCACGTATCTACAAGCAGATGAAACGTTTGCCCCTTTGTGATCAATAGGCAAAGGTAGAGAGGGTCAATGTCCCAGTCAGGTAGGGTAAAAGAGCTCCATTTCAAGTGGAAAATAGGGACCAGTACAAATGCCAGAAATCAGTACATTACACCAGGGCACACAATGTGACAGTAAGAGGGAAAGGCTGCAGCTCAGGGAGTACGTGAACTTAACACATAGCCTACACATGAATACAGGCAGCTGGCAATAAGAAGCCTGTGAACATGTGTACCCACTGCCTATTTCCTGCTAGAAGTTACACATCCCTTCCTTCCTTTCCTCCTACCACTGTTGACCCTCTTCATTTTCACTTTCTTCACAGAATTTGATGTTCTATAGGTATGGCTACCAAATGAGAATTGAGGTACTAGTCCATTTTTATCCTCAATTTGTCTCCCTTTGCTTAGACTCATGCATTTTTTCTTTAGCATTTTCCTCACTGCTTTTCTTCTAGTCTGCACGTTAAATTCAAGATTGCTGAGACTCAACAAAGACAAAAAAAACTGTTTTGACCTCTGCTGTCATCTATATGTAAAAACATATACTCTGCCCACTAGTTAGGAAGGCTACTATCAAAAAAACAGAAAATAATAAGTGTTGGCAAGGATGTAAAGAAATTGGAACCTTTGTGTACTGCTGGGAATGTAAAATGGGACAGCCACTGTGGAAAATAGTATGGCAGCTCCTCAAAAAATTAAAAATAGAATTCCCATATGATCCAACAATTCCACTTCTGGGTATATACGAAAAGAATTGAAAGCAGGGTCTCAAAGAGATATTTCTACACCCAAGTCCTTACCAGCACTATTCACAATAGCTAAAATATGGAAGCAACCCAAGTGTCCAATGATGGATGAATAGGTAAGCAAAATGTGGTATATACATACACTGGAATATTATTGAGCCTTAAAAAGGAAGGAATTTCTGACATATACCACAACATGACTGAACCTTGATGACATTATGCTGAATGAAATAAGCCAGTCATAAAAAAGACAAATACTATATGATTCCACTCATATGAGATACTTAGAGTAGTCAAAATCATAGATAGAAAGTAGAACAGTGGTTGCCAGGGCCTTGGCGAGGGAGGGCATGGAGACAAGGGGAGTTACTGGGAGTTATTGTTTAATGGGTACAGAGTTTCAGTTTTACAAGATGAAATGAGTCATAGATATATATGGTTGTGATAAATGTATAACATTATGAACGTATTTAATACCAATGAACTGTACACTTTAAATGGTTAAGATGATAAATTTTATGTTTTGTGTATGTTGCCAGAATAAAAAAAAAAGTATACCCTGCTAAAGAGCAGCAATAAAGGTTAGTAGGAAAAAAGGAATAAAAGGTTGTTTCATTTTTTCTTGCCTCCACCATCAATACTCCATATTGGGTACCACCATGCAATGGTCAAACTGGACTATTCACCATTTTCTGAACCTGCTCTACATTTTCCTGCCCCACCTCTGCTATTTTCTTAACCTAGAATGCCCTATGTGGCTGCCCCTCATTTTAGTCTAAAATATGCTACATTTTCTTCAAGAGCAACAAAAACAGCATCTCCAAGAAACCTGCCGGAAAGAACTAAAACCTCTTTTCTGTCCACAGTAGCTTACTCAGAGCTCTATTTCCAAATACTATAGCATCCTTGCATCATGCTTATTTGTGTATGTTCTCTTTTATTGCAGATGGATATTCTACCTCTGCTCAGAGCCTTTTTGTTTAAAATCATGTTTGCTTTCTATGTTTTTATAAGAACTAGCGAGACGTTTATCTCTCAGTGTTGCTTATAAGGTAAATGAAGATTGGAACTAGATGTCATCTTGGGCTCATAGTGTCAGCCCTAAGTCAAACAACCAAAGGCTTTCTCTCTTGGTACTTCAGACCAATCAGCTACGCAGAGGCTGTGCTACCAGGCACAGGCAAATCTTCTGTTCTACTCTCAACATCAAGAGAGCGATGCCAGGGGCCGGCCCCGTGGCTTAGCGGTCAAGTGCGCGCGCTCCACTACCGGCGGCCGCGGTTCAGATCCCAGGCGCGCCCCGCCGCTTGTCTGGCCATGCTAAGGCAGCATCCCATATAAAGCAACTAGAAGGATGTGCAACTGACATACAACTATCTACTGGGGCTTTGGGGAGGAAGAAGAGGAAAAAAAAGGAGGAGGATTGGCAATAGATGTTAGCTCAGGGCTGGTCTTCATCAGCAAAAAGAGGAGGATTGGCATGGATGCTAGCTCAGGGCTGATCTTCCTCACAAAAAAAAACAAAAAGAGCGATGCCAGCTCATCTTCAGGCAGAACACTGAAAGCAGTGAAAGCAATACCTAAATATTATTAAGCAATGTATTTAAAATAAAATAAGGGCGAGAGTTTCCAGACAATCTCTTCTCTGAGTATCTTGCAATTTTTATCTCATAGCAAAACAAAAGAATCAAAATATGGCCCACCTAGAGGGAAGTAGCCCCCAGTGCTTGGAGATACTGAGATATTGCCTACCCACGTGCTATTCTTGCTTTTTGGCCTGCAGTTCCTTATCCCCATCCCCCGAAGGCCTAGCAAACACCTCAGAAACCCAGGCAAGACGTCAATTTTTCTAGGAAACCTTTTCTGATCACTTACGAAAATATTTCTTCTATTTAATAGAAAGAGAAGGCATTCACTTGTCATTTATGATATCAACTAAAATAACTTAAAATGTCTAGGATCACATCTGAGATATGACCCCTTACATTTCTATGAGGCAATCCATTTACTTTCTGTAAAATAATGGCTTTGTTTTGGTTTTTTTCTGGATTCAAATCCTATAAGCAAAAGCAGTTAAAAAAAAAAAGCAGAACTGCCTTTTTAAAGCATAAGCAGCTTTGAAACAAACAGCAAGTGCAAAAGCATAGCAAATGAAATTTCCACACTCACTTTAATCAAAGTGTGATTTTAGGCTAACTGCTTAGACTCCCTGAGCCTGTTTCCTTTAAAATGGGTGTCCACCATACAAGGTTTCTGCAAGAAACAAATTAAATAAAATGTAAAACGTCTAATACAGTTCCTAACACACAGGCCCACAAAAATAATTATTTTTATAGTCTAGCTTTGGCACTAGATTCATTTCTTTGAGTAGTTCTTAGTCTAAACCAGTGTTGTCCAGTAAAGTAGCCATTAGTCACATCCGACTATTGAGCACTTGAACTGTGGTTAGCCCAACTGATATGTGCTTTAAGTTTCAAATACACATCGGATTTCAGAGACTTCGTAAAAAAAAATAAAACATCTTATTAATATTTTCTATATTGATTATATATGAAGATATAATACTTTGGATATAGTGGGTTAAATAAAATATATTAAAATTAATTTCACCAGTTTCTTTTTACCTTTTTAATCTGGCTACTAGAAAATTTAAAATTATATGTTTCGTTCTCACGCATTTCTACTGGACAGGCTGATCTACACTTTAACTTCAAGCCAGTAAACATGCTCTCTTAACCACACAGTGGACTGCTTGACAGGGGTTCATTCCGGCTAATCCACCCCTTACCCCAACATACACTTGCTCCCTTTAACACTCCTCACTTCCACGACCCGGGAAAGCTGATGATTTAATTGCTCCTAATTTTAAAAGTATGGAGCGCACAGATCCGCCAAGGCAACTAGAAATTGTTACCTACACAATAACAGAGAAGCAGCATCTTGAGAAAAGACCCAGAGTCGTCTCCCACGGGTGTCGGTCAACACAGCTGCGGGGGAGCTTGTGCAGACAGGAGTCACCCTTAGGAGAGTGAGAAGAGGCGGCAGAGCAAGTGCCCCGGATCTGAAGGACCGTACTGTGGAGCCCATGGAGTAGAGGTCTGACGAGTGAAGCTTTTCAGAATCTCGGGGACAAGCCTGAGGGCGGCGGGGAAGGGACTAGGCTCCGCGGCGGAGGCTGCAGGGAAGAGCGGTACCTTAAGAATCCCCCTCATCTTCGCCAGAAAGGGGCGGAACTCCTCGGGTGGTACGTCCGGATAGAGCTGGCTCCGCAGCAGCTCCTCGGTGATGCCCGGGTGACCGTAAAAAGCGTCCTGGGCCAGGCCGTTCAGCAACCCACTCAACGGCTTGCACCCCTCAGGCTCGCCCGCCATGGTCAGCGGAAGCCCCGCCCCCCAACAGCTGAGCGTGGCCTCGCCACGGCGGCCGAGATGGGCCGAAACAGCCTGGGCAAAGGCGCGCGGAGAAAGTGGGGGCGGAGTTCCACCAGGGGTCGGTGTTAGCAGCTCCCAGCTTTACTCTGCAAAGACTATGGCCATAGGTTGCCACCACAGAGTTATCCATTAAGTTCCAGAAGGCTCACTTTGCTTCCGCTGATATCCTTCATCACTCCAGGTCCTACTCAAAGGAAAGATCACTTGGTGGAGATCTCTTGAGTTGGGGTAGCATCCTTTACGGATAGCAGTTTAATTTTTGGATGGCTGTATCTCATTCCAGGCCTTGCCAATCCATTAACTGAATAGGATCTATCACTCAGACCTAATCTGTGCCTAACCTTACCTGTCTACCTTTTGTCCAAGGAATTTTAACTATACCCTGATAATGTAATGTGTTTGTTTGGGTTTTTAACAGCCTTTTTATATATTTGTGTCTTGTCTTTCCAACTAGATCAGTGGCTCTGATCCAATGCTCCTTTCTATAACAAATATTTTGTTAAAACCTTCTTTACTATCCTGAAATGAAATGCATAGATAATATAACTTCATACACATATAAATTTTTAAAAATCAATATATTATTCACCCATAAAAAAGAACAAGTTACTGATACATGCTACAACATGGATGAATCTTAAAAGCATGCTAAGTGAAAGCAGACAGCCACTAAAGACCAGATATTGTATGATCTCATTTATATGATATGTCCAGAATAGGCAAATCCATAGAGACAGAAAATAAATCAATGGTTGCCAGGGGCTAGAAGAGGCGGGAATGGGGAATGACTGTTAATGGGTACTAAGTTTCTTCTGGGGGTGATAAAAATGTTCTAGAATTAGATAATGGTTATGATTGCACAACTTTGTGAATATACTAAAACCCACTGAATTGTACACTTTAAAAGATGAATTTCATAGTATGTGAATTATATCTCAATTTAAAAATCAATATAATGACCTAATTATAATTTAGGATAAAAATAAAAGGAAAATAATCTATAATATATGTATTTCAATGTGTAAGTGTTTGGGCATAACTAGACTAGGTGATTAGGAGATATATGAAGTAGCAAAATGCCTGCATCTTTATGTGGAACCACCTGTGACTTCTACAAATGCATATTGATACAAGTGTGCTGTATTGGTGAGAAGAGAGAGAGCACGTGTGAGGGTGAGTGCAGTTACTACTGGTAACATATGTTCTAAAATAGAACAAAGGTTGATAAAGTTCAAAACAAAAAACATTCTTCCCTCACTTTACTCAGTAATTGCAAACCAAGAATGTTTGGTGTATATTAAAGCCATGCTAAAAATACATTGTGTTTATATATAAAATGGAGTTAGGGGCCTGGGCCCCTGGTGTAGCAGTTAAGTGCACGCACACCGCTGCTGGCAGCCCAGGTTCGGATCCCTGGCATGCCCCGATGCACTGCTTGTTAGGCCATGCTATGGCAGCGTCCCATATAAAGTAGAGGAAGATAGGCACAGATGTTAGCCCAGGGCCAGTCTTCCTCAGCAAAAAAAGAGGAGGATTGGCATGGATGTTAGCTCAGGGCTGATCTTCCTCACTAAAAAAAAAAAAAAAAAAAAAATGGAGTTAGATTTCAGGCTCAGACAATAACAGATAGGTGTTTCACCTTCCTGAACGTCCCCTTGATGGCAGGACTTATATCCCTAGTGCCCATCCAGCCTGGGCCATTCCTCCCCCTCCATTACTCTAACAACTGAAACTGAAACATTCCTTTCAAGGTAGTGCCACCCTGTTGAGAATCATTGATCCAGACTAATGTTTATCCAGTTTGCCTAAAGTCAAGAAATATTCTTTATAATAGAAAAGATGTATTTCTTTCCCTAAAGGAATTAATTTTCTTTTTTTTTTTCTTTATGAAAAACCTTTATTAAATAAAACTCTGGCAGAAGATGCCGTCTTGTCCCCACCAGGCCCACAAAGCGTTCTGCTGAAGAAATTCTCCAGGCTCCGTCAAGGGCAGCAGAGCCAAGACACTGGACACAGGGTCCAGCGTCCTTGGGCTGGAAATCTGGCTGTCACAATCGTTGCTGGGCTCTGAGTAAAGAAATGTATCTTTGCACCCATTTTTCCTTTGGCTGTGCACAGACTTTCTTGCCTCTTTTGGTAGTGAGTATCACAGCCCCCTGAGAGCAGCTGCTCCTGGTGAATTCATAGGAACGCACATATTTCCAGGGAAGGATCTTGTGGCTGTACTGGAAGCAGCAGAACTTGGCCACATCACTGCCACGTATGGCAGCTCCGAGATGGACACTCAGGATGAAAACCAGGAGAACTAGGGGAGCCACGGGGAAGCTCTTCATGGTGCTGCCACCCAGGCCCTTCACAGCCTTCTGCCCAATTCCGGAATTAATTTTCTAAAAGGCAAATTCAGAAATGCTTTCATAGCTCTAATAACAGCAAACCTAGAGATAAATTACACGTTGTGTTAAGTGTGCCTACAGGAGTTGCAGAGAATGGTCGACATAGGAGAAAAAGTAATAAAAGGGTGGTAAGTGGAAAGAAAGCATATTTGAACACACGACTTTCAAATTACCCACCAGGAAGGCTGTAGCCATTTATTTCCATGAAACTTTACTAACACTGACTGGTATTATTCTTTATAATCTTTGCCATCTGATACATTAGAAATATTATCTTATTGTTTTAATTTATATTTCTTAAATTTTGAGAGTGAATATTTTATTTATTTATTTATTTATTTTTGCTGAGGAAGATTCGCCTTGAGCTAATATCTGTTGCCAATCTTCCTCTTTTCCTTGAGGAAGACTCGCCCTGAGCTAACATCTTGCCAATCCTCCTCTATTTTGTATGTGGGTTGTGCCACAGCACAGCTGCTGATGAGTGGTGTAGGTCCGCGCCTGGGAACTAGGCCACGGGGCTGGCCCCTGAGAGTGAATGTTGCGAGTGAAATTGTACTAGCACTAGTTAGGTAATCTGCCTGATAGACCCCTGCCATCCCCTAAAGGAAAGTGACCTTACCATAACTACTCTGCTTTTTTGTCTAGTATAACTGCCTTGTTGCTGCTCTCTTCTCCCTATACAAGTCATTTTGTGTAGCTCCTCAGAGCTCCTTTCTTCCTGCTGGACTGGATGTGCCCGATTCATGCATGAATCATTGAATAAAGCCAATAAGATCTTTAAAAGTTACTCAGTTGAATTTTGTTTTTAACACACTGCCTGCCTGAGCCTACAAGTTCCAAAACACCAAGGTGACAAATAAAAGAAAATCATCCCTATGCCATCAGGGGCTGCTATTGCCAATGCAACTGTTCAAAGTTGGTAACAGCTGCATTTTTAGAACGCTTTTCAAACAAAAGGATCAAAGCACAAAGCTTTATTTTATTAAATCTCAAAACACAACCTGTTGCGCAGATAACAAACCTGGGCACGAGCCTATTAAAAGAATTGCCTAAGGTAAGGCAACAGCAAGAAAAAGACCCTGGAGTCTTGGCTCAAATGAAACTACATGCACCTAACTAGCAGCCCTCCTGGTAAACAGGTTTTCCTTTTCATTATGGCCAAATAGGTTTCCATTCTAATTTCCATTAAGCAACTGGTCGCTTCCCTTATTAAACTAGTCTTTTTATGGCTCACAGGCTGTTTGGTCCCAGGCCAGCAATATGTGCTTTCATAAGGTTTTCCATCTCTGAAAACGTTCAATTTAAAAATGTGAACCAAAATAATGTGCAAAGACGAGGGCCCCAAAGTTTTGCAATAAACTCTCCCTGCTCCCTGTCTCTACTCCACCTTTTCCAATTCTGCTTTAATTACCATTCACTTGCCACTCAACAGGTATTAGTTGAGAGCTTTGTGCCAGTCATTCAGCTAGGGGACAGAAATGAATAAAACAGTCTCTGCTCTAAAATCTTACATTCTGGTAAGGGAAAAATGATATTTAAATGAAGCGTAGCAGAATTTGCCACCCCAAAATATGCCATTTTGGCATCAGGATTATTTTGAGCTGGCAACTAAGAAGGAAGGCAACTAAGAAGGCAACTAAGAAGGCGACTAAGAAGAAGCAGATACAAGAAAACCTCACAGCTCTCCTCCTATTTGCCCAAATGCAGAACATAAATTTTCAAAGGTGTCCCTCCTCCCCTGTCTACCAGGAAGGACAAAAATTAATCCCAGGAGACAACTTTAGACCTTTGGAGTTCTAAGCCACTGCTTTGAGTTACTAATTTTTCCCTGGGTATCTTGCATGTATACATGAGGTATACATGTTAATAAACTTCTGTTCATTTTTTTCATTAATCTATCTTTTGTTCTAGGGGTCCTAGCCAAGAACTCAGAAGGGTAAAGGGAAAACCACTTTTTCCTGCTCTGCATAAACTAATGATTAAAATACAATAAACTAAGTGTTGTTACTACTAAATACCTAGAAGTAGCTATCCGATTTGTTGATGAAAGAAAAGATTGATTAACTCAGTTTGAATAAGTCAAGGAGAAGCTTAATGATGAATAGCTAGACATGTTGCAGGTGAAATAGCATGTCTCTATATATGAAGGAGTGAAACACAGTGGTGTGTTGAGGTATGCTATGAACCCCATAGTGTAAAGATGGGGTTCAGGACACACTACCCCAAAATATGGCACTTTGGCATACTGAATATTTGGAGGAACATAAGAAAGAGAATGTGAGAAACAACAGGTGCAGGAAGGACTCTCTGATGCCTACTTCTCCCCTGAAGCAGGTCATAAGACCCTCATGTGAGAAGTGCCCTCCCTAAACCCAGAGCATCCTTATCTTCAAAGATGGAAGGACATCAAGAGGAATCTGAACCAACAGGCCTTGCTAAGTTTTCCCAGTTTACTACCCATAGCTCATATCCTTTTGTCCTATCACATTTCTCTACTCTTCATCAAGTCTAGCATAAAAATACTCAGATTTAACCACTTCTTCAGGTCTTCATTTCCTTATCAGGGCTCCT